ATGTGGCATGGATAATTGTATGAGAAATGTTGAGTTGGCGACTTGAAGTCTTGAAAATATATATGTATATATATTATATTTACATTTTACGGAAAGTATACAGGTTTTACGGAGATGGGTTACAATGTGTTGAGAAATGTTGGATTTGAAAATAATTGTTTTTGGTGACCCACTCAATTTTGGTTTTGCGCCCCTCCAGGTTCAGGAATCACAAAGGTGTGGGTACGAGGAATTCGACGGTTCTGACAGATTGCACAAAAATTAGGACTCACCTTCGGGTGTATCAACTTATAAATTGTATAATTAAAGCTTCCGTACTGTGCAAATGGTTACGTCACTCTCACGTGACGGCCAGCATGCCCTCCTTCGGGACGGGGTGTGTCAGGAATGCTACCCACGCGTCGATAATCGTGACTTCTTCTCCGCTTTTCCTTTCCTTTTCATTTTTCTCTCTCGCAATTCTCAGCTTCTGACAGTCTCCAACCTCGCTTTCTTTGGCTCCCAAATCGGCTTCTCTCGCTCTCTAACCTCTCACGAATTACAAACAAGGTGCTTTCTTGCTGGAAAACCACTGATCTAGTAGAACTTTCCTCGGTTCTTCAATTCGATTCGAATAAATTTTTTACCCAGAAAAGCTTGCCTTTCGTGGTGAGTTTTACAGCTTTCTCAGTGTGGGTGTTTCAATTTCGTTTTTATGATTTTGGATTTGCAAATTTGTTTTCTGTTTCAATTTTCCTTTTGTGAATATGGGGGTACATTAGCTACTATGCGACTCCCTTCCACAAATCTGATCTTTGTTTCTTGTTAATGTACCTGCATCTACTACAAAGTTTGAGAAGTGGCGATTGTTCCTAATTGTACATTTTTCTTCTTTGGTACTGCCCGATTGTGTTTTTTTTTACTCCTGTTTCTTCCCCGGAATTACAGAAAGCTAATGTTACAAACAAGGCAACTAAAGCAGCTGTCTCCAAATGCAGCTGTTTCTTCTCTGCATCGCTCGTTAATGAAAAAGAACTAATCTAGCTTAAAATTTGCATCGAGTTTCTTCTTATCTTCTTCTTCTCTGTATCTCACAATTTTTCGTCCCCTTTTGTCAACCAACTTCGATATTTCTTCTTTTCTACATTCGTTTGTCCTTGATAATTTCTTGAGGTGCCTCCAAATACTGAAGACGGTTGTGAAAAGATAACTGCTGACTGCTGTATGTTCTCCCAGTAGAAAAACACATTATCGCAATCGTTGTCAACCGCCTCTGTCTGCTTGGAACAATGTGAGACAGTCCCCTCTCCTGAGCACTACACTGCCGAACCAAAATTTGCAACCGAAACACCGAACTCGAGAAACAGGACGTGAAATAAGAACAATACGTTGTAAGAAATCCAAAGTTGTCTTTGTATTTCCCTCTCTACAGCCAAGTAGTGTCGGGACTGCAACGGAACCGTGCCGTGCCGTAAGGGTAAATGTGATGGTTTCGTCAAGAAAATGAACAAAAAGTGGAACTTGCCGTGTCAGGGTCATAGGACACCAGAACCAGAATATTGAACTATGAACTTGCCGTGTCAGGAAATGTGAGAAAAAAATATCGGCTAGTGATTGTGAGCCCAAATTCTTGAGGTCGGTGTAAATTGCCTCTTCACTCGTTGGATAATCAAAGTTGCGCATAATCTTTCAGTTATTGGCTCATCGTCAATTAATTTTAGATGTAATAATAGATAACAGTAGAGAGCATGTTATTGGAATACGTGCTCAAGATTGATATAATGCTTCTTTTAAAATGCTTTAAAAATAAAGTATTACAATGTAAAGTCCAAATAACTTTGTTGGATTCCACTTTGTTTTACTAAGAATTGATTTAAAAAACATTTTAATAAAAAACGTTTTCAGTCATTTTAAAAACACTTTCAAACAAATTTTTAATAGTACACAATTAATTTTAAATTTAACTAATACTTATACCTATTTAATATATTCGTCTCCACCTTCAATTTTTGCCACATCATGATCGTGAATCTATTCCTTGGTTTGGAGGGAAAGGGAATTGATACTCAACCTCTCTTCTTTCTTTATTCCTAAAAAAAAAATTTGAAATTGACAATCACGCCTTTCGCTCTCAACCTCTCTCCCTCCCTCCCTCCTATGTAAAACCCTCCTTCCGCACCAAAATTCCTCTTCGTTCCCACGGATTCTTCCCCATCGTCACGCTCCAACCGCCGTCTTTCCCGCCAAATTTATTGTCGAACTATGCCTCCGTCCTCCGACCCCGCCGTCCCCACCGTCACACCAGTCACCATATCCTACTCCGAGCTCCAAGTAACTCTCTCTCTCTCTCCCCCCCCCTCTAAGTTCTTTTTGTGGTTGCCGAGAAAATTGAGCATGAGAGTTTGGTTTGATTGCCTATAATTTTTTTTCTTCTGTTTGGGTGCTCAGAAACTCAAGAGAATTCGTTGAAGTTAGAGCAAAATTTTATTTCAGTTGACTTTTTGGTTGTTATTCTCTTCATTTTCTCAGCAACCAAACAGAATCTAATTGTTATTCATAGTTTTGTTTAATTGCTATGTTTAACTCGTCGATCATGTCGAGAATTCGATTTTTCTACTTATCGTTTTTTTATTTTGGATTGATACAGGACAGGGACAAAGATTTGTCAGTGAAGATTGAAGAAGGATTTGGACCAAATGGGTTGGGAATCCTATCAATCACTCAAGTATGATTTCGTTATGCGATTACCGTTGTTAATTACTGATTATCTCTTCCATTACCAGTTTTGGTAAGTTAAAACTATATGTGCAGAAAGAATTTGTTAACGAATCGGTTAAAAAGATAAACCACATGAACTTGCATATGTAATGTCGGGGTACTTTCTCCGTCATGTAGATTGTAGATTGTGCTGTTTGGGCAACGATATTTTGCTCCATTATTCCATTCATAGCTCATAAATTATGATGTCTCATGTTATTGTTTTGATGCTTCATACCTAATCGATTCTCGTGAGAGCTAGCGTTTTGTTGTAAACTGATACGTATTTTCTTTCTAGCATCTTTGTAATTGTTTCTTTGAGTTTCCAATTGCAGGTTCCGGGATATTCTCCTTGCGCGGAATCTTCTAGGCTTGTCACCTAGGTATATCCCTTCTACGTAGGATTTTCATGTTCATTTTAAGTTTTAACTGCAATTCATAATGAATTTAGGAAGATAGTTTGTTATAGCACTGCTCATGGGAGTTTTCTTTTCGTTTATTAGATTAGCCAATCTGCCCGAAGAGGTGAAGAAGGAACTTGAAGATCCTCATAGTAGGTAAGTCATTTTAGTCCCATTGTTATACTTTGATTTCTCTTAAGCCGTTGGCATAATTTTCATGTAAACACAAACATCAATCTATGTTTTCCTTACAATAGAGAAAAATTCCAAAAATTCCTGCCAGAAAGATAGTCTCATCTCAACTCTTGGATTTGTCACAGACTATGGTCTTGACATTATTATCTAATATTTGCGTGGTTTTGTTGCTTTTCTTGGGAATCTTTACAATGTTTTATTGCTTATCTTCTTTTTACCTGCCATCCATGTTTAGGTACAATTTTGGATGGAGTCATGGAAAAGAGAAGCTGGAATCTGGAAAGCCTGGTATGACTTTATGTTCTTTGTTTTAAATTTTGTTTCTTTGGAAACTCTAAGAACTTAGGATCATTCATTTTCCGTTTGTGTTCTGGTTTTGCAGATACGTTAAAAGGCTCGTTTTATGCAAATCCAATATTGGATAGCCCTACAACAGATGAATCTCTAATTCAAAGGTAAAAGTCTATAGGGACATCAATCATAATCTGAGTACATGTGGGATCTGTTATGTCTGTGGTCACACAGTATATGGCTCAGACCAGTAATGTTTGGCCAAACTGTTGTTTGTGTTAGTTATGAATAACTATCATACATTTGATACAAGGTTTCTTAGAATTAGCCAGGACAAATCTTCTTTATGCTAGGATATGTTTACCTTTATTTATCCTATTTGAAACTACAGATTTTGTAAACAGAACATAATATTTGTGTGCTCAGATTTTATTTGTGATCTGTATTGAGGTATCCATCATACTGTGTTCAAATATATGGCCCCAATAGTGAATTGCCAGAACTAGAAGTCGGTATGTTTTCCTTTAATTTATGATTGTATTTTTGCATGATTATGTCATCACTGCATGTAACTTTTGATTTGTAGCCTTCAAAGCTCTTGGAAAGCTGATCCTTGGAGTTGGGCTTATGGTTGCATATCACTGTGACAGATACGGTATAGTCTTTGTTGTTAAGGTTTACACTAAGAGAGCATAGCTATCCTGTTTAGTGTTTTTCAGGTCGCATGTTACACTTGAGTTGTCATGACAATTTCCTGCATGATTTTGTTTCTGTCCTGGCCAGAAAACAAGTGTCATATTAGTGTATTACGAGCACTCAGAAGACCTAAGATATAAGTTTAGATGACAAACCTATGATCTTGAGAAAGGGTTAAATCAAGATTTCTGAATGTTTTACATGATTTCATCACAAGAACTTTAAATTTATTGTCTCTCGTACAGAAGGGATAAAGAATGCTTCTCACCTTACAACTAAATGATATTGACATTTTCCACAGCCCTGGCCAAACAAAATGCCATACTCTTCTTCAACTGTTGCTTTTGCTTATTTAGCTTTGATGTTACTTTTCTCTATTGTATAGTTGTTGATCTGTGGTGACCCTTTCAAATTTTAATGGGTGCTTTAACAGTGTCAAAAGCAATCAAAATGCGTGAGGATGAAGGCCTTGAACAAATACTGTTTCGATCTCGCTGTCATAAAGGGCGTCTACTTTATTATTTTCCAACAAAAGAAAGGTGATTATATTATATATCGTCATTTTTTCCATAGGTGATAATTGAGCGGTTAGTTGCAAGTTCAAATTCGTCTCTCAGGTTTGGTGGTATTTTGGGTCAATCATTTTGCTATGTTGTAATACAAGATAAAGGAAAGGTTCTCTTCTTTTATGAGCCTATGTTACCATAAAGGAAATGCACTAAGCGTTATCATCTATGGGCGGAGAACAAGGCTATGAATGATATTTGATGGTGAAAAGGGTTTAAAAGAATAAATTATACTGCCGTATGCAATCTTTTGGCTCCCAGAGGTATTATATTAACAAGTAAATTACGACCTGCAGTAATCCTACTGAAGATAATAGAGACATGTCTTCTTGGTGTGGATGGCATACAGACCATGGTTCACTGACAGGTGATCATGTTTAATTAGAATATCTTGGTTATTAGTTGGGACTCTTTCGTTGTGCTTAATTTTTGCTTCAATTTGATGTATAGGTCTGACCTGTGCCATGTTTACGCGAGATGCTGCTGAAATACCTTGCCCTGACAGTGGTGCTGGCCTTTATATTAGGACACGAACTGATCAGATTGTCAAAGTACGTTTTCTTTTTCTCGAAATTCTAGTTATGGAAGATAGAGTTGAGGGGATGCTTCTTGTATAAAGTTTATAACATGCCTTTTTTGAGCAATCTACATGTGATGACTGTGATTAATATGATTTGGAAAGATATGTATGTTCTTAAAACTAACTTGGTTCACTTCGCGTGTTAGGTCGTTTTTGGAGAAGATGCAATAGCATACCAAATTGGCGAAACCACTGAAGTTCTGTCAAGAGGCTATCTTTGTGCAACGCCTCATTGTGTCCGGGTACTTTTTCTACTACTATATTTGAGTTTGAAATTCTTTTCTTCTTCTGATGCTCCTTCAAAACCAAGTTTTTCCTTTGGATATGCCCAATAACAGTCATTGTTTCGATTCACTGGTTGCTTGTCAGGCACCCAAGGGAGCGGAGGCTTCTGGCCTTGATCGTTCAACATTTGCCTTATTCATGCAACCAGACTGGTGTGCACAATACTTGCCACACATTTGATATCATAAGAACGGTTGTTTGTAGCTAAGCACGGTTCATTTTGCAGGGACGAAAAGCTTAATTTTCCGGAGGAGGTTCATATCCATAAAGAGGTAATGTACTTTGAACCCCAAATTAACCACATCAGACATGAAATTACAAACACAAATCAAAACGTTCGGCTTGCATTCCTCTGCTGTGTTTCTTTTTGTTTTAATTCGGGTCTTGTGTTTTCAGTTAATTCCACCAAACGGTGCTCTTACCTTCGGAGAGTACACAGAGAAGCTCCTTGACAAATACTACCACCTGAAAACATAAACGCCGGCGTATTTTTCGTCGAAGAATGATGATGTATAGGGACTGCATCACTGTAGTTGGTAATCTAGTACCTAAACTAAACTGATGGAAGTGTCTCCAATTGCAAGATTAATTTCTTGTTGGCAGATCACTTCTATCAAGTTCTTACTCTAAAGTACATGTTCAAAGTTCAATTACCATAACCACACAATTAGGAGAGATAAAGCGTTTGCATAGTCTACCTTTCTTCTGCCACTCGTTTGAAACATAATATTGAAATCCAATCCTACGTCCTACCTGCCACTAGCGGATGACTATATCTTATATACGTTAACTACCAAAACATGAATTATTTTCTTGACAGTAGGAAAGAATAAAATGCAACATGAAAATTATTGATTTGCTATCTAAGTAAGAGTCGCGACTTAAGCGGGTCTAGACGGGTTAGATGGGATTTTTTAGACCAATGATCTTATGTGTGATGATTGCAAAAACATTAATTATTTTGTCAATTGTAGGTAAGAATTTCTCTAATAGTAAACACTAAAAAAAATTCATATCCAATAGCGGGCTAAAAGGTTACTTGGCTAGCCAAGGGTTACCTCGCCAGACAAAGATAGACGGCCGGGTGGATCGGGCTATATGTGGTTAGTGAAGCGCATGTAGGCTTTATTGCATGCTAAAATTAATAAAATAAAATAAAATTGTTATCCAACGATTTTTATTGTATAATTTTATAATATCAAAAATAAGAAAAAAATATATATCTCGAACTAACTCGAGATGGCCTGAGAGACTTCACTACCTAATCCACTAGAGACCAGATTTTGTTGTAGGCGCAAGTGTTAAGAGCAAACTCTTAAAAAATGAGCTGACTCAAAGTTCATTTAATTCATCCATATGAATAATTATAACTCCAATGCGTGATTATTTAAGTGCATCTTTACTTTTAAAAAATGAGCTAGGCGAGAGTCTAGTCAATTTGTATTAAAATATTATTAAATTTTTTAATAAAATAATAAATAATATTTTTTTTAAATTTCGGATAGAATTTTAACCAATCTTGTCATGCCACGTGCCATTTTCCGAAAACATAATTTTTGTGAAAGATAGTTAGGTATTTATATAAAAAAATTCTTAAAATTTTTTTTTCCTGTATTTTAAAACAATTTTTAAATTTTTTTTATTAAATTAATTAATCTAGATTGTTAGATTTCAAAAAGAATTAAATCCAACAGCCCCAAAGTGGACAAGTGGCCCACGGGAAAATTCTAACATTTTTTTTATGTTAGAATGCGCGTTCTCATGCACCTGTGACAAAAACAAGAAATTCACACGTCAGTCTAGTGTCATGTAAGTCTGCCTCTTGCTCAGTTCATTTTGGGCCATCCTATTAGGTCTGGGTGGAGTGGCTTTTTTGGGGGACTGATCTGAAAAATAAACTTTTGACTAGCACATTTGTTAGGGATGGAAGTGCTCTAATTGTTTACTAACAAATGGTATAATGTCGACAAGAAATCGCCTCTCGTATCCCAAAACGGGCATGTCGTTTACGTTCCAATGCGCGCGGTGGCCGACCTGCTGGTCACAGTCAAGCTTCCAAGACGGCCTCTAGCGTCTAGAAGCATTAAAAAAACACGTGGATAATGTCGACAGAGGAACGATAGCACACAAGATATTTTAGTCTAATTAGTTTAATTGGATAAGGACAAAAGTGACACGATGGATGGTCGTAGGATGCTACAGTAGTGCGGGCTGCACGTGGACGTTGATCATTGGACAGAGATAGCCAATCTTAATTTCCACACGCGAGACATCCTCGCCAAATTATTTATATCCTCAAATCATATATGTTCATCGTAATCATGCAATTAAAAATTATTAAAAAAAATTATTTAAATTAAATATAAATCATACATAACGAAAATTAATCACACAATACATAATAAATAAATGTGATTAATTTTTTTTTAATATCCTCACAATATATAACGAAAATTAACCGCACAATACATAATAAATGAATGTGATTTAGAAGATTTTCAAAATCTCCACAAAAAGATCCGGTGAGGATCCTCTCTCTTTCCATACGGCTTCTCCTCGCTTTACCATCGGAGAGTTTCAATATTGTCCCTACAATTTTTTGACCGGAATATTGTTGTGTTTGCAAAATTACTTGAATGCCCTTCTTGCTACAAAAGCTACTATTTGACCCACAGTTACATCATGTGTGGAATAATATTTATAATGAATGATATTATTCTTAATATTATTGGTTGATAAATTAATTATGTTGGTGACGTCAGGGATTCTAGAAATCTTCTCACATGCTCCAAATTTGAGAGTTTTTTTTTTAATACATTAATTTATTAGTAAATTGTTCTTTTTGTGTGATCTAATCATTGGTAATGATAATTTAAATAATATCTCGTTTAAATCAAGCATATTTAGCCTTTCATTCGATAGTATGTGTGTTCAACATTTTTGTTAAATTAATTAAGTTAACTTTAACCTTAATTATGTACTCCAAAAAAAAAACTTTAATCTTTAATTAGAGAAAGTTATTGTGCAAGGGAATATAGAAGAGAGAGAAAACATTATTTTTTTTAAACAAGACATGCATGTTGTAAACTATTATAATTTATATTGAAAGAATATAAACTTAAGTGTAATAATAAGATGCATGTAATGATTCTTTAGTTGGGGCAATATTAATATTTTAATTTACATATTACAATAAGAGAACGAAAGATAATTTAAATTTTTTTTTACAAACAATAGCGTTAATGTGTTAAATTGTTTGTTGTTAAGAAAAAGGGAATCGATAATAATCGAATTTGCACCAAGATGCATAAGCAGAGGTGGAGCCATGAAGGGACCAATAAGGCCCTAAGCCCATCCTAATATTTTTTTTTTCATGCTAAAAGGTTACAGATTAGGAGTTTCAAGGTTTTTCCTTCGGCTCAGCTGCTCATGGGCTAATCCAATGTTTTTCCTTTTATTTCTCTCACTAGGTTTGATTTGATTTGAAGTTGGTGACTCCTATGAAGTTCAGGTAATTCCTTGCTTTGAGCTTGGGAGGGAGAGAGAAAGAAGGAGAGAGAGATGGGCTTTCTTTTTTTTTTTTTTTTTTTTGTACATTTTTTATTCCTGTTCTCTTCTTCTATTCTTTTTCCGTCCAAAATTTTTTTTTGAATCAACTAGGGCCATGATATTAGTTGATTGTTGGTTTGGAATTGAGTTTAAGAAAGATGATGATGATGATAACAACATCATATTAGACATAAACGACGGTGGTCGATGGTTTAGAACATAACATATTGATTTTGCTTTAAATCAAGAGAGTGTTTTGGCTGAGAGTTTTGTGCCTCTCCGAAACTAAAATTCTAAACTCTATCACTGTACATAAGCTTAGTTAATTTCCATCACTCTCTCGCTAGTAGTCAAGGGGCAATAACATAAAAATGAGCATGAATGACTTCATCAATTTGAAGATGTGGGACCGCATATGTCTGCGCTCATCTCTCTCTCCCTCTCTCTCTCTCTCTCGAAGATGAGCCTATAAAACTCTATAAACCACCTCCGCACCATCCATATATTCCTTCAGCACTACTCTAATCTTATTCTGTTACCCACCACCAATCTCCGCCGTCAGCAGCTCTCCCATGGCAACTTCTTACTTCCAACAACCGCAAACGCGCCAAGCTCGACGCCGCAAAAGCCACCGGAAGATCGGGTTCAGGAAACGATGCCTGATGATGGCAAAGCAACAGAAGACACGGTTCTACATCCTCGGACGCTGCGTTTCCATGCTTCTCTGCTGGCACGACCACTCCATCTCAGATTAGCAAGCTCCATAGTCACAAACTGACTGGTCCAAGTGACGCGGCGGAATGTACAAATAGAAGGATCAACAAACGTCAAATCCGATAGCATGTACTGAAATCAATCATCAATCACCCGAAATCCGATAGCATGGATTCCTATTGATGGTTCTGTTCTTCAACTCCGGCAAGAGTCAAAAACTGAAAGCTGAAGAAAAGCCGCGGTTGGTGGCAGTGCTTTTGGGTCGAGGAGGACTCGATCAAAGTCAATTGCTTCATTGTAATTGTGACTTTAGATTTTGCTTCTTTTAGTGTATGTGACATATACATACAGGAATCCATGTACATATTGAGAAACTTGAAAGGAGATCAAAGATCAAATGGAATACAAATGGTTCACTTCACATAGTCCTTAATATTTTGTGTTGGTTGAATGAACATATGGGATTAATTTAGTAGTGAAAATGAAGTATTTCATAAAACGAAAATGTTAAGATCAATAGTGCACGTACGCATGCATTGATTTTGTTATTTGTGTTTATAAATCACAGAACAGAAACATCTAGATTAGCGCACGAGCAAGATTGATCATAGGGAACTTTAACGAAAAGCATCCGGTACTGTTTATTTTAACGAAAAACCATATTTTTACACTAAAAAGTCAATCCTGATACTATTCATTTTACCATTTATTTTGTTCTTATCATTAAAACTCAAAGTTTTTAAGCATTTTTTATTAGTTTTCCTTTGATCGATCATAACGGTTTTCATCATTCATAAATCATACTAGATGAGGAGCATACTATAGAGAAAATGAAATTGAAATGTTGAAATCAATCACGCATTTATATATGGGCTAATTTGACAAATCATACTTATGAATATCACAAAGCGGGGACAATTAGACTGGCGTATGAGTTTATTGATTCTAACACTCGTCTCTTTCATAAATCATACTAGACAACGAAACAATGAACCAGTTCTACGAAAAAGAGAAACTAAATTATGTGGTAACAGAGAGAAAGAAAATGCGACAAATAACATGAGATAGGTAAGTGCAACAAGGATTAAAAAGCCGTAGTCTAATTTGGTTCCTTGAAGTTGCCGTCAAATGTCAATTTGTGAATAAAACGGTAAGATGGACTTGTTGAGCTACTCTAATCCATCACGTTATCTAATCAGATGGGAAAGGTATATTGGTTGAGCAGCAATATATAATATATAATATATAATATAATAATACCAAAGTCAGAAATAGGGGCTGTTTATATGTGAAATTAACGGAAGGACTAAGCGGATCAGTAGGAATAATAAAATAAAACGAGAGCTGTAAGAATTGGGCAATTGTTGATTGGAAAAAGATAATTCGAAGTTAAGTGCAAAGAGTGTTGTAATAAAATCGTAAATTTTTCTAAAAAAGCTGAAACAAGCCCAATAGTTATATGGGCCGTTCACTTTCAAATTGGGAAATAACCAAAGCCCATTTCGTTCGAGTAGCATCACCAGCCCGCAAACCTCTCCACAAAAACGACACCGTGCTAAACCAGTATCCCACTACCCGCCATTGAATTCGTTAAACCCTAATCCCTCTTTTTTTGAGCAGTCTGTAGCTAACCGTTAAACCTCTTCCAGTTCCCCAGTTCTCCCATCTTGCCACAAGGTAAAGGTCATCTCCTTCTCTCTCCTCTCTCTCTCTCTCAATAATCTTTGATTTCTGTAATTTCCGACGCATTTTCTCGACATTGATCTGGGTTTTTGTAATTCTGGCTAGTGAAGATTCAAACTTTTGGTACGTTGGAGTAAATATTGATCTGGGTTCGGTTCGTTTTTGCTCAAAATCCAAAATTTTGATTCTTTCATTAAAATTTTCACTATTTTATTTGTTTGTTCATATATATATATATATATTTGCAATTGCAAAGAGAACCGAGAATTAACAGTGAATTAATTGTTCAATTCCAGGGTTTTTTTCCTCTTTCACAGAGAAGAAAATGTTGGATGAAAGCAAATTCGACGTGCACTTGAAATTGTGGGCACTTCGAATCCCTCGCGAGCTCTGCAAGGTCGCCACTCGAATACTAAACGGGTACTCTTCTCCAAGACGTCATTTCTCTGTTTACTTGGCAATGCAATGCAATGCCTTGTGTGTTGTAATTTGGATGGAATTTTTAATTTTGTAGATATTTGCTTGATAAACCCCGCATTAAGCCGATTACTGAAGACCCGACATGCGAAAAGAATCGCTACATGATACTATCTGAGAGGGTCCAAGATTCCGGTAACAAGTGTTGAAGTTTTTGAGTTGATTTGTATTTATTATTCTCACAACATGCATAAATCAGTAATTTGAAATTTTGTTTGTTTGAGGCAGAACTATCTGATATTCCTGAATCAAATCTCAATGAACTGAAGGGTTTATGCAAGATTGAAGTAGTTCCATATTCATTGACACTTGGGTACTCATATTGGGGTGCAGGTCGATTTGATGCTTTTTTGGTATCTTATTGATAAATTTGAATTCTCATTTGAATTTTTTATCCTGCATATGTTGAAAGGTGTTCAAACTCATACCACTTATTATGATTTCAGACCATATATTGAAGCAGATTTTGCCTCCGGGACTCGAGGTTCCTTCATCTTTTGAAACAATAGTTAAGTACTCAATTCATGATTCTGTTTCTTCTCCGCATCCTCATTCTTTCGACAGGGCTTAACAGTTGCAAGTTACCGTCAACAACTTGACAACCCGTTGTTTATCTTTTATTTTTAGTTTAGTATACAAGGTAGTGTTGACCATCTGATGTTGGACTAACACTGCTTCATGGTCCTGCAGGTCATGTTGCCCATCTGAATATTCATGACGAATTACTTCCCTACAAGGATGTGATCGCAAAAGTTATCTACGATGTATGTTAACATATCCTCACTTTTACTTATAATTCGCTCAGAGTGTGTTTCCTTGTGTACATGCTCAAAATGTTTTAGTTGTCCCAGCTGGACTTCTACGCTTCCACTTTTTTCTCACATGGCCTTGTTGTCTTGGCAAGTTATTGTTATGGAGCCTTCTGTTTTTGTAAGATTAGTGTCACTTCTTGCTATCTCTTTATATATGCAATTTCACAATCATCACAAAAATGTACCATGTCTACATACATTTACATCTTGTTTGACCTTTTTGTATATCAGAAAAATTATCCAAGAATCAAGACAATTGTTAATAAAGTTGGAACAATTGAAAATGAGTTCCGTGTGCCAAAGTTTGAAGTTTTAGCAGGGGAAAATGATATGGTTACAGAAGTGAAACAATATGGAGCAGCTTTCAAGCTTGATTACAGCCTGGTCTACTGGAATTCAAGATTGGAGCATGAACATATAAGGCTAGTTTCTCAGTTTCGAGCTGGGGAAATCATATGTGACATGTTTGCTGGTATTGGTCCTTTTGCTATCCCTGCAGCACAGAAGGGATGCATAGTTTATGCAAATGACTTGAATCCGGATAGCATTCGTTATCTGAAGATCAATGCAGAAACTAACAAGGTTGACGATCGTATTCGTGCATACAATATTGATGCGAGACAATTTATTTCTCAATTGATGGCTGTGCCTGACTGTGATGAAAAATCAGATTCTGACGTCTCCATACTGAAGAAGAATGGTGACAAATGTGCTGTTGATGGCAATCAAGAATCAAAATCTGAAAATGGAAGGCTAGCAGGTAATATACACTTCTAGTATTGTGATCTTTTAGTTCATGTGAATTTTTTCTTTCAACCTTCTTAACCGTCGGTTTCTTGCAGCTGAGGCGAAAGAAGTACCAGATGCTGTTATTTGTAATGTGGACACTTTACAGGGTTCCAGCAGGAATGCTGATTCATCAGTACCTCCTGTTAAAAGACCTTCAGATAGCTGTCAATCAGGTAATCATGGGAACCACAACTAGGTGCTTCGTCATCACAGAACCTGATGTAGCGACCAATGCTTAGGAAAGTGTTGATGACTAATTTATTTCCTTGCATTTACCTTTTCAGAGAATGAAAGTGTTGATGGCACTAACATCTCTGTAGCTGGTAGGAGAAAAGGAACCAAGACTAAGAGAATGAGAGGTCCTGAGATCTCTGCTGTTAAGACTTGGGAGCATGTTGATCACATGATAATGAATCTACCTGCTTCTGCTCTTCAATTTCTTGGTACATATGTCTTTTGTGGATAGTTTTGGTCCTTCATTCTGGCCGTAGTAAACATGTTATTTTGTTTTGTTATAAATACCACTTCCTCGGTAATCTCTGTGTGAACTATATCTGCATATATTTTCATTCAGATGCATTTAGGGGTCTGATCCAGAGAAAATATTGGACGGGATCTCTTCCTTGGATCCATTGCTATTGCTTCATAAGGGCAACTGAAACACAAGAATATATTAAATCAGTAAGTTTTATATGTATCGTTATTAAATACTATTTCATTCTAACTAAAAAGTTCTGATAATCACACCAGTCCTTTAACTTGGGACTGTCTGGCGTCCACTGGTTGCATAGGCAATTGGCTTTTGATTTGATCGCATTCACTCTTTTCCTAATGAGCCAGTGCAGTCGTCCGCTATATGCATGTTCCAGTTCTTCTTACACTTTTCCAACTATGTAGGTGGCAGAATCTGCTTTGAATGCCACTATAAAGGATCCAATATTTCATAGGGTCAGGGATGTCGCCCCAAACAAGGTATTAGTATTTGGAACTATTTATAGCTCCACAGATGCACAGATATGCTTTCATGATACTTACCGTCTTCTCATCTTTGATTCATGTCACAGGCAATGTTTTGCTTAAGCTTTAGACTGCCAGAAGGGTGCCTTATTTAAGATGTCACTCCGCTTATTCTGCTTCTCGGGAGGAAGAAGCACTTATTGGCCTCGGATACTATCCTTCATTCTATTAGTGGGAAGAATATGCAAATTGCGGGTCGTTGCTGCTGGTTTTCTGTTCACCAAGCCAGTACAGAAATAAGCACACACAGAACAGTCTAACGGCTAAGAAGGCGAAAACCCTACACTCTACGAGCAACTGCTGTCTGTTGAATTACTTGTAACCTTTCGTGTAGACGGTGTCAGATTCTAAGAAGTGTAACAAATTATTATATTTCATTTTATTACCGTACAGTAAATTTTTGCATACTATCTGTACCGTGGTGGGGAGTCCTTTTACTTCATGGTTTGTGCATGCAGAGAGTAGTTAGTGTGTTATACAATCAAGCGTGACAAGAAACTTTCATGTAAGTTTATACTTTATGGAACATGAAGTTTTTGGCCGTTCGATCCTAAGCGGCCAAAACTCCCTATACACCGGATGATGGAAGAATTTTCGATACAACTGCTTCTCAGGCTGTAGGGACAAGGGAGGCATGTAGGAATTGGTAATACGATGTGTCAGTTTAGCTTTCCCTTCCTTTTCCTTTGGAATTGCACGATATACCATATGGCACAAAGCCACTTTTTAGTGGCGATAAAGGATGGAAAAAGCAACAGAAAAATAGAGCCTGCAAATTAATGGTAAAATTAACACGTAGGTTTTGGCTGGAAAGTTGGCGTCTTGGAGTACCCTCTTTTAAGTTTTCTTCTCAAAAGAGTAGTCAATGGCTTTCTTCTCATGGTCTCACTATCTTCGTGTTCCCATGCATTTTCCCAAAAGCCAAAAGCTACTAATAAAGTAGTTGGAAAACTTGAGTAAAGCTGTTTGATCAGGACAACTTTCATATTGGGTGGACCACTGTCGAGTTTTAAAAGCTACTAAACCAGTTGAGACACTTTAGCAGGGTTGTCTGACTAAGACAACTCTCATCTTGTGTGGACTAGCGATGGAAGCTACTAAACTAGTAGGAAACTTTCAACAAGGTTATATGATCAAAAGAGCTCTCACATTGGGCAGACCAGCACTTAGTCGGTTGGAACCAAAGAATAAGGAGTTTTATACTTTTGTGAGAGCTACCTTACCAACGACGTGGGTTTAGTATTCATATTTATTAAATTAACACTAGTCATATACGACTATAGTTTAGTGGTATTCATTTTCACTTGTGAATGAGAGGTTTTAGGTTCGATTCTTGCCAAAGGTGAATTTGAACCACGTTATTATGGCTCGCCCATTGTGAGGTTAAGTCCACCGCCTTCTTTTTTAGTGTAGATAATATCGTTTGTTAAAAAAAATAATTAAAAAATAGCATGGGCTGGCAACCATAACTGAATAACTGAATTAAGCAACGAATCTTTTTTTTTTTTCCTGCTTTTCTCTCACCTCCCCATGAAAGTTCCAACACTGAAATTCTAGAGAGAGCGAGAAAGTTGCACTTTTCACTGTATATATTCAGGAAGAAGGAACCAAAAGAATTCCCCTCTTCCTCCCTCTCTTTCTCTCTCTTTCCTGCATCTCCCAAATCATTGGAGCCTCGAAATCTTTCTTGATTCTTGCTCCATTCAACAAAGATTCAGATTCTAAGACAACCCTTTTGAAGATTTTAACCAAAAGAAATCGGAAAATGTCACAAGAAAGAGTGCATCTCTTGACATTAGTACTAATCCTTCTTGTTTTCATGACGATGGTCGAGAAAGGTGCGAGCTTTGGAGTGAACTGGGGGACCATGGCGACCCACCAGCTCCCGCCGGAGAAGGTAGTCCGGATTCTGGAGGACAACGGATTCGACAAGGTGAAATTGTTCGAAGCGGACGAGAGAATATTGGCCGCTCTCACTGGGACTAAAATTGAGGTGATGCTGGCCATACCCAATGTCATGTTGCAGGAGATGAGCCAGGATCCTGTGGCTGCAGCTACTTGGGTGGATGCCAATGTCACAAGTTACTGCTACTCTGGTGGAGTTGTTATCAAGTTACTATTTCCCTTTGATTGCTTTCTTTTCTGGTTTTTTAACTGTTTAGTGTGACCGCTACTTGTTTCCTAAAATGTCTGAATGAATCAAATCCTTTTTCTGTGCAAGTCGGGTTTTAAGGGCACGTTGCCCTAGCCAACTGACCTAACTCACATGTCCGTTCTTGTAATTGTCATTGTGATTGTTACTTGTTTCTGAAAATGTCTCGGTGATTGTTGTGGCAATTGGGTTTTTTCAGGTATGTAGCTGTAGGCAATGAGCCCTTTCTGAAAACGTACAATGGCACCTATCTACAAACCACATTACCAGCTCTCAAGAACATCCAGGAAGCCCTAAACAATGCAGGACTTGGGTCACAAGTCAAAGCCACCGTCCCCTTCAACGCCGACGTCTACTTCTCCCCTGACTCAGACCCGGTTCCATCTACTGGAGACTTCCGCCCTGAAGTTCGAGACTCCATAATCAAGATCATCCAGTACTTGTACACCAATGAGGCACCATTCACAGTTAACATTTACCCTTTTCTCAGCCTCTATGGCAATTCCTATTTTCCTTTCGGGTTTGCATTTTTCGATGGAAAAAGCAAGCCGATTAAAGATGGTGATCTGCTCTACACCAATGTGTTTGATGCAAACTTTGACACCCTAGTTTGGTCTCTGACCAAAGCCGGCTTCCCTGAAATGAAGATCATAGTTGGAGAGGTGGGCTGGCCAACTGATGGTGACATAAACGCGAATATCCGCAACGCGAAGAGGTTCAATCAGGGTATGATCCAGCATGCCATGAGTGGCAATGGAACCCCAGCAAGGACAGGCAAACTCGATGGCTACCTATTCAGCCTTATTGACGAAAACATGAAAAGCATTGCTCCCGGAAACTTTGAGAGGCACTGGGGGATATTCGAGTATGATGGGAAGCCGAAATATGATCTGGATTTGTCAGGCGCTATGCGAAACAAGGGCCTTGCAGCTGCAGAAGATGTGGAGTATATGCGGAGAAGTTGGTGTGTTTTGGACCCAGATGTTAAGTCTTTGGATGATTTGGCAAAAAGCATTGACTATGCTTGCACACTCTCAGATTGCACTTCATTGGGATATGGAAGTTCTTGCAACAATCTCACTCTCCAAGGGAATGCTTCGTATGCATTCAACATGTATTACCAGGTGAACAGCCAGAAGAGCTGGACCTGCGATTTTTCGGGTTTGGCTGTGGTGACCGATGAGGATCCTTCCGTTGGGGACTGCGAGTTTCCGGTGATGATTTCGTATGCTGCTCCATCACTGTTGCACAGCAGGGGACTTTTGCATTTTGTGATGAAAATTGTGGGAGGATTTCTGTTGTATTTGATGATTCTGCTATGACATAAAAGCTTTCAAGAAGTCATGGTTCCAAAAGTAGAGAGTTTTGTTTGGTGGGTTCAAGATTATAATATCGGATGGTCTTTAATATAAAAGTTTCAAAAAAATTTAGACAAAACAACATTACAAACCACAAAATTAAATTTGTCAACGACGAGGTTTATAATCTGAAAACGTTTTATGACAATTTTATTATCTATAGAAGGAAAAAAAACACTTATTTGCATATAAAAAAATAGTGTTATCCACACATTTATTTTTACTGTTCACACACTCATCTCAATTTTCGTTTTTTAGTCTGGAGAATGAGGAAAGAGAACTTGTTTTTTTATTTGTTTTTAAATAACCTGACTAGAAATGACGTCATATAGCCAAATCGTTTTAAGAAAAATAAAGCCTTCTTTGTTTTCTCATCTGCTGCACGAAGCCGATGCACCAGCACATCCAAGTCTCCTCTCTTCCGTCACCTTTGCAACCGTTGAATGGTCCTCGAAGGTCCTCACAAATGCTTCTCCGGGCATCCGATGACCATCCGAATCCATGAATATCTCCGCCGCACTAACTTGTGCACAGTTTTGTTGCAGAATGATAGGACACTGCACTACTTGCTTTTTGGCTTTTGAAATAGAGAGAACCAGCTATCTGTTGTGCATAACTGCATATGGTATTCTTCACCTACATTAACAACTCTATGTGCTTATGAAACATTTGGAGTTCAAGTTTTTGAACTGCTCATGCACAAGTTTTTTCTTACGGTTATCCGAACCATGTAAACGTTACATACAAAAGTAGTCCCTTCGTTTATTGCTGAGTTGCATTGTTAACTTGAAATGTCACGATTACCCTTCTTTTAAAACCTATGTGACATTATGTTACTTGAAGCTAACCTTTTTTTACTTGTCTTTGGGGTGAAAACAATTACCCTTCCTTTAAACGGCCATGGTCTCAGTTCTCAAAGACTCTCAAATTCCCCCTTCTTTTAAACGTAACGGTAACGAAGCACAAGCCCCTGAATTCAAACAGTCAAGGGGAATTTGAATTTGAAATTTAATAACGGCCAAATAATATCCGGGCCCACCTTTTCCTTTGCAAATACCCAGTAGAGAGTACTCCTCCACAGATTCAAACCTCCACCTTCTCTCTCCGTCTCTCTCTCTCTCTCTCTCTCTCTTCTCACTCACACACACACAACAATGGCGTCGCTCACTCCAGGAATCCTCCTGAAGCTTCTCCAGTCAATGAACTCCTCTACCAAAGTCACCGGCGACCACCGCTCCGCCCTCCTCCAAGTCATCGGCATAGTCCCTGCTCTCGCCGGCTCCGACCTCTGGCCCAACCAGGGCTTCTACGTCCAGCTATCCGACTCCCTCAACTCCACTTATGTCTCCCTTTCTGATCGTGACACCGACCTCATCCTCACCAACCGCCTCCAGCTGGGCCAGTTCGCCTACGTCGACCGCTTCGATTTCGACTCCCCAGTCCCCCGCGTCGTCGGAATCCGTCCCATCGCCGGTCGACATCCCTTCCTCGGCACCCCGGAGCCCCTTGTCGCCCGTATCTCGGCCTCGAAACGAGAGTTTGTGATCCAGCCTGTGTCGGATTCCGACCAGTCCACCGATTTCATGGCGATTTACCTGTCCAATAAGAAGCAGGAGCAGGTTGTGAGGAATGACAACAAAGAAGCCAAGGTTGAGAAGGCACGACCATCAAGGCAGCCTCTTGCTCCTCGAGACAATGTCAATTCGGGTGGGAATGTGAATTCGAATTCAAGTACAGATGAGGCTAAGAAGATCCCCGATCGGCCGGCTTCCAGGTTTTCATCTCCGGCCGGTGCAAAGAGGCCCGTGTCAGTCGGAAAGAAGAACCCGGCGTCGGCTGAGAGAGATCCATCCCCCGCAGGAAAAGGAAAGAGATCGGGATCTCCAGCCCCGTCGAAATGCGTTGTTCCGAGCTTAATTGTGGCGAAGGAAGAGAACCGGAAGGTGTCGAAAGAGGCGGCGATTATAGTGCCGTCGAGGTACCGACAGCCATCCCCAATTGGGCAGCGGAGGCAGCCTTCACCAAATTCCCGGAGGGCTTCGCTTTCTCCCGGGAGGCGGTTGTCTGGAGGAGTGAAGGACTCTGCTGCCAAGAAGAAGACGATAAGTATCGTTGCAGGGATTTCGAAGGTTTCAGAAGCCCTCATTGGGTCTGGAAAGAGTAATCGGAAGGGCTGGGATGAGTCGCCGATGGTGGAGGAGAAAGAGAAGCCTTCGGCCAAGATCAAACCAGATTTGCAAGCATTTATAAGGACTCAGGTAGTTTTCCCTTCTGTGTGTATCTCTGGAAGCAAAATTTTGATTTACTTACTACTCTGCATATTCTGAATTCTGTGTCTTTGCAGGCTGCTCTTGCGCGACGATTAAGCGATGCGAAAGGTGGAAGTCCGAATGGCGGTGATGATTCTTCCGGCAATGAGAAAACAAAATCTGGGTCACCGGCAGATTTTGTGGTCCAAGAGAAACCCAGCTGCGCAGCAGCTCCGAGCATCACCGTCCATGAAAAAAAATGGACTGATGGAAGTGTCTCACTTGATGCAGTCTCTTCAGACCTCGCAAGGCTTGGAAAGGTATAATCTTTGGCATTAGATGCAACTTTGTTTTCGATGAAAATTGCGTTATCGAAATAGATTATGATCAATATGGACTAAAGTTCTAAACCGTATCGGATTGCAGGAAGCTTTGCAGAGGAAAGTTCTTGCTTCTGCAGCTGCAGCTGAAGCACTCGAGGAGGCCATTGCCACTGAGTCTCTTGTGAGGAAATTAAGGTAATTTGATCATTCTGTTTTGTAGCCTTAAATTTGTTTAAGGAAATGTTCTGCCACTGTCGTCGAATTTCAATTATCTTTTTTTTCTATCTCAGCATGTTTGCGGAACTCTCTTCCACATCCAAGGTCGGGAACCCTCTACCCGCCATTGACCGCTTCTTTTCGATCTATGATGAAGTTGTTAAATCAACCACACTTGTTGAATCAATTGCTGGTAATCGCAATTCGGATACATCTAACAATGCTCAAATTCCCACTGAGCAATCGAAACCCGTTTCACTTTGGGTTGAAGCTGCTTTAGCTACTGATCTCGGCATTGTCTCTCTCCTTACCACCCAAGACAATGAAACTCCATCAGCTCTGCAGAAAAGTCTGTCAAAACGACAATCCCTCAACACACCTCCCAAATCCCATCTCAAGATTTCCCCTTCCTCTTCACCGCAGTCCAATGCTCGCGTTGGGACGTGGACAAAGGGTCACGGAATGAAAGACACAGTCGAGCTTGCCACTCATCTGCAATCCGAGATGCAAATGTGGTTTCTGCAGTTTGTTGAGAAGGCCCTTGATGCCGGTTTTCGTGTGTTTGGAGAGTGCGCAGCTGATGGTGGCAAACTGCCAATCGACAGTGGCTCCATTGCAGCTGTTCTTTCGCAGTTGAAGCGGGTGAATGAGTGGCTGGATCGAGTCGTCTCGAAAAGGAATGAACTGAATGCGAAGGTTGATCGGCTGAAGAGGAAGATCTACGGCTTTGTTATTCAACATGTTGGGACGACGGTCGACAGCTCCACCCCTCTTGCTTCCTCTTGATTCCATTTCAATTTTAACTTATTTTGGTCAATATGTTATTAGTTTATATGAACTGTGATGCCTTCATATCTTATTTGTACTCCCAATTTGTCACAAATGCTTGATGTGGTAATCATATTTCTATCTTTTAATCGAACAAATTAAGCTTGTAAGATGAACGGGTGAGCTTTATCAACAAAGATATTGTCACTTGAGACTCACGCACACCACATGGCGTAACCAAATTGTACATGTGATGTATCCCCTAAACCCTAGCCCCAAGTCAGTGATAGAGACCTAGGATGGGACGTAATGGTAGTCGGAATGGCGCTCAAGAGGCAAAGTGGGAAAACCAAGGCTAAGAAGAACGCTCGGCCTGCATCATTCTAACATAACGCACCATTTCGGCTGAACATATGTCACGTCATCGCCGAATGTCTGGTTGATAGGTGAAAAGGTGTCAGTATGCTAGTCTACATAGGTGGCGCATTAAATGCCAAATAAGGAAGATCCATGGTTGAGGGGTTCATTGAGTGCTATATAAAGGGGTGAGAACCTCCTATATTGAGGTCAGACAACCAAAGAGAGAAAGAGTTCATATATTAGCCAAGCATTATTTCAGTCTTGCAATCAATAGAATCCAAGCAATACAGTAGATATAGTTAACTTTGAGTGCTAACAGAGGTCATATAGTATTGAGTTTACTATTTTTATTTTCTTGTAAATTAAATTAATTTGGAACATCGTTCTATAAAAATAATATTAATTTTTTTGAGCAATAAATTTCGAAAATAAATTTTATTTGTGTTTGTAATTGGTTATCCACAAAATAAAAATCGATACATCGGTTACACTGAGGAAAGCGCGTCCAAATCATATGCATGGAGGCCACATGCCTCTCTTATCCTGACCACTCCCTCAACACACACGAAAAAGACCCACCTCTTACAAAAATCCAAGCCCACCAGGCCCCACAAACAAACCCATCCTGACCGCACAACAAATTCTTAATCACTAACGCATCCGACGGCTAGGATTCACTCACACCCAAGTACTAGATTTGTATATAAAAAGCCCATCACAGATTCGTACGCCGTCTGCCCGTTCGGGTTGAAAATCCTGAGACTTTCACTCATCAGCCGAGCTCACCAAAACGCGTCGTTTCGAGCTCGTCCCTCTCTCGGATCCTCACCAACCTCAAAACTCCAATCTCCGAATCGAAAATCCCTGTCAAAACCCTAATACTTTTCCCTCCATCATTTCCGATTGTGCCCCTCGCACCCCGCCTGAGCTCCGTGACCAGAACCGTAACTTCACCGAAAATTCGCCGTTTGGCGACGCGGATAATTCTGCCGTCTGGACTTTGCGGCGGGTGGTGAGAAATGGCGGGCAGGAAGGACGAGTCGGTGGTCCTGAACAGAACCAATGTTTTCGCGGCGCTCGGGAGCTTGAAGAAGAAGAAGAAGGGCGATAAGAGCTCGTCGAAGAGCTCGAAAGGGGGCGACGCAGCTCAGAACTCCGGGGAGGCGGAGAAGGAGGTGTTTTGGGCGCCGGCGCCCCTTATCGCGAAGTCGTGGGCCGATGTGGATGACGAGGACGATGATGACTACTATGCAACTACAGCTCCGCCGGAAATGGGTTGGGCCGGCGAGGATTCGAAGGCGGTGAAGGAGAGCGAGCTCGAAGCCGAGCATGCGGAGACCGTCGGTGAATTGGTATATTTTATGAGCTTTTTTGTTTTTGTTTTTTTGTTTTTTGTGATCTTGTTTTCGGATAGTGCTAAATTGGGAAAGCTTGTATTGTATATGTGTGTGCAGAAATGTGTTTTTGGATATGATCGGTTTTTACTCATGATGTAGTAAACTGTAGAAGGAGGTATTTTTTTTTTTGTTTGTGTGTATTAATTGATGAGGGGATAGGTGAATATGAACGCTGTGGTTTTGCTTGTGATATCACCGATTTTCGTTGAAGCAATAGGATTTGGTAGTTTTTTATTCTACTTTTGGAATGAATGAGGTGATGTTTAGTGAAAGGTTTTAGATGATAAGATTTGGTAGGAGTTACGGAATTTATTGAATGTTCATATCTGTGGATTTTGTGGAATCCTTGTCTAATTTGGATCGTCCTGTCAATCATTTATTTTAACGGTAGTAGATGCAGATGTTTTAACGGTAGTAGTTACTGCTTTCTCTGTAATGGACTGAAATCTGCTATGTTTTTCCTACAAGTGTTAAGGCACCGCATCTTTTATAGAGGGTGCAAATCCTTTAAGGTCGTGTTAAGTCACCGCACGTTAGAAAATGAGATCTTTTGAATCCCAATCGTCACTGCAATCTATGTAACGGTTAAAATCTACTCTGCTTTGCCCACGCGTGTTAAGTCACCGCATCTTTGATGCTATGAAATGGTTTATTTTTTGGCTTTTGCGGAGACAATTGATTGTCTTTTCGCCATCTTGACTTGTGGGAATTGAGTTTATTGTTCCGTTAGGAAGTAGCTATATCTCATCTGTTGGTATCCATGGTTATCCATGATCTGTGTTCTTTCAGCATGCATAGATTGTCATATTATACTAGATGTGGCTGACCAATTGATAGTTTTCTTCCTGTTGTTGTCACGAGATAAAAACCACATCCACACGTGGACGTGCGTCTCATTGGAATGATTCTCGTTTAGGGGATCCTAAATTTGTTCTTTTGTTGGTTTCATTATGGTATTTTTTGGTGCATACATTAGAGAATGAATTGATGTTCCATTATCAAAACATATTTATGAGACTAAGTGATTCCTTGTAAGTAGCTTAGGCAGTTTCATTGTGGAACCCCAGTGTATATCCCAGATTTCTAAAGAAAGCTTGGTCTTGATTGCTGATTGATTTTGTGGTGGACGGAGCCAATCAGGTGACTATGATTCAAAAGGCCCTGATTTGTTTGTGTTTGGTGGATTTTGGGCAACCACTCTTTGAAACAATGAACTATAATATCATTTCATGCTTATGATGCATCCTTACTATCAAATGTATAAACCTTAGGTGTAAAGTAGATCGGTATTTGAAAAGCATAATGCCAAAACTTTTGTTGATAATTGGAAAACATTGCTTTTATGGCTGAAAAACATCCAAACGAGTTTTGTGCGTGCGTGTTTAAGGGTACTGATGCTTCTCTATTTAGCTGTAACAATTATTGTCTTATTTGAAAGTCAACTTCATACAACGGAGATGTCATTTTTTTCAACCTCGAAAATCATTTGAGTACTATTCCTCTGGTTATATTGTGGAATTCTTATATATATGTACCGATTTCCAGGAAAGTGAAAGTGAGGAGGAAGGTCTTGATGAAGTTGATGACGTTGACGAGGAACATGAAAATGAACTTGAAGCCTCGGTCGAAACTGAGCCAGTTAAGAAGCTCCCTGAACCCTCTCCAGCCCCTAAGGAGACAGAAAGGCAGCTTTCTAAGAAGGAACTGAAGAAGAAGGGGCTTGAAGAACTTGAAGCAGTTCTTGCTGAGCTAGGATACCCTACCAAGACCGAGACCAGTGGCCAAGATGACTCCAATGGTATGTAGCTTTATATGGATAAGTTTCTGCGTGCCATTTATTTGTAGCATTAATGCTTGTTACTATCGTTTGAGTTTTTACATTAGTACTGATGCAAACTGAGTTTCTGTTTCCAGAACCTTAAATACTATGCTAAACATGCTCAAGTTTTCACGGAGTGAAAAAAAACCTTCATTCCTCCTTAGGGACGCAATGAGAATATTCAGTTGATTGTATCTCACTGCGTTTGACATCTTCCAAATCAATTAGTTTTTTGTATTTTTTACACGAGCTGCATTTTGACCATACCTTTGCATGCAGGTATTGCCCAAGAGAAGAAAGCAGAGAATCAAAATGGCGATGTGGACAAGAAGGAGAATGTCACTGGGGAGAGCAAAGGTGCAAAAAAGAAGAAAAAGAAGGACAAGTCAGCGAAGGAGCCGAAAGAACCCCAGGACCAGCCTGATGGCACAAATGGTGGAAGTGCAGCAACAGATGAAAATGCTGGGACAGAGAAGGGAGAAGATGCATCTACTGGTGATGTTAAAGAGCGGCTGAAGAAAGTGGCGTCCATGAAGAAGAAGAAATCAAGCAAAGAGATGGATGCGGCCGCCCGAGCTGCTTCGAGTGAAGCTGCTGCCAGGAATGCTAGGCTAGCTGCAGCGAAGAAGAAAGAGAAGAATCACTACAACCAGCAGCCGGTGCGGTAAGCCGGCTATAGATCTTTAGTTTTGTTCCATTGTTTTGTTTCTCCCATATGAACTTGTACTTTTGTTTATTTGTTGAAGGGAACAATAAACCTTTTGGGAAAACAGTTTTGCGAACTTCACTGTCGAGAAGATAGTTCTTTTACTTAAAAGGAAGAAAGGAAAAGTATGGTTATATTTTGGAAACTTTAACGAAAAGCTCCTGGTACTGTTCACTTTAACGAAAATCCACATTTTTACACTAAAAGGTCAATCATTGAACTATTCATTTTACCTTTTATTTTGTCCTTATCGTTAAAACTCAAAGTTTTCAAGTCATTTTCATTAGTTTTGCTTTATATTTTCTTACCTTTTTCCGTTCATGCTGAATTTAAGAAACTTCGTATCGTCCGACTTTTGTTTTCTATTAGGCACTGTCTTCCTTTTCCAGTGCAACTTCTGTGGGCATGTCCTAGTTCTTAAGACCATTGGCACGTTTACTTGGAATGGGGAAAGTCATAAATCGAGGAACGGAACGGAACAAGGGAGTAAAATACAGGGCAAGTCGGGAATCGAAATGATTTCAACCTGTAAATGCTTGGGAATGAAGAATCATAATGATTTCAATTTCTATTCTCGCCAAGTAAACGTGTAATATGTGGGTTCTGCCAGGGCAGACCGGGTTGTGTACCAGTCCGGCTTGTCCTCTTGAGGTTTCACCTAAAATTAATTGGCGACAGAGGAGTGACCCAACTTCTCGATATGGAACAATTCTTCACATTCTACAAGTCACCCTTGGGCTTGGGGCTTAAGAGGGAGGGATTAACAGAATAAAACCTCAAACAAGTGAAAATTTGAGTAAAATTGTGGATATACTTCATAATATCTGAGCCTTTGGTTTAAATACAAAGGCCAGAAACAGTAATCCACAACAAATCCCTGGTTCCTTTTACAACTACACACTCCAACATGCCTGAAATCGGTAGATTTAGATTACCTTAAAAATGCGTTCCCCGAAAGCCTTACGCAATAAATAACGTAGCCATCGATGGCATCACAATCCTTCGAACTCAAAAAGACTGAATGTGAGAACCAGTTGAGGTAGTATTTACAGGGCGAAAGTCGTCAAAATCAGAGTCGGAACCCATATCTTCATAATCGGGCCAGTCACCAGGAGAGGCGGAACCCATATCTTTGGTCTCAGGGACGTGCAGCTCGGATAGAGGAACTGGAAGAGGCTCTTCACTGAAATACTTGTCCTGCAGGAGCTCCATAGCCGTAGCTCTCTTAGCTGGGTCGTAACAAATAAGTTTCTTCACCAGAGAGACTTCGGCAGGGGAACAGTTGGTCAGGCAGGCCTCTATGCCGACTGGATTTTCTACTTTATTGAACGATATTATCCTGTAATCAGGCAGTTTAAGACACCCCGGCCACGCCTCCTCAGTTAAGTTGCCCAGAACACTGATGATTCTGCTGAGCTGGTCGATATCAGCAGTTCCAGGAAAAAGTGGCTCTAGCGTCAAAAGCTCGGCAAAAATGCAGCCCAACGACCATAGATCTATCTCTAAACCATAGTCTATGGATCCGTAGAGTAGTTCCGGAGCTCTGAACCATCGAGTCCCAACACAGGATGTCAGAGCTCCATTTCTGTCATTTCCGCCCTCTGCCTCATAAGAATACGAACCCCTGAAAAGATCATCGTCTATGTCGCTTGCTGTACATGTTGCTATACAAGATGTATCTCCATCAGGAACGTTTGTATCTTTATCCAAACCTTTTGCCTTGACCTCATCTAACACTCGAAAATATTCCTCTTTGCTCATAGTTCCCTGTTCTTGAGCTCTGTACCCTTCTTCACATGACTCATCTTTTTCGGGAATCGCTTCAGGTGGCTGAAAGGCACTCTGACTGGGAGCGCTTCGTTCATACAGTTGTGGGTTTTCATCAGGAACATATCCCGCCTCCAAGAGTATCCTAGCCTAAACATCAAAACACGACACATAACACAAACAATTCAATGTTGTTGACATGTAAAATTAAACAGGGTACGAATCAAAACCAAATACGGAAAAGTAGTAGCATAAAGCCGGAAATATGAATCCTCACTACAAATAAAAGATGCTAATCTTCTGCAGCCACTGGCTTGTTGAACAAATTATTCCAAACCCTTCTAAACTACAAAGGACAATGTGATAAGCTTCCTTAAACTTTACGTTCAACAAATGCTGGAACACGAAAATTTCGATCCAATGATATATCAAAACGAATTAATCTGTGTTTTCATTTCATCCAATCAAATAATCTCATAATTCAAAGTCAGTCAGAATCTATGAAAATTTTGATTGAAACCCCTCCGCCGCTGTAAAAATTCATGTAAAAGTTCCAATTTTTCAACCAAAATTGATAAATTTAACAAATATACATTATAAACTGATAATCCAAAGCAGCTCCCACCAAATTTAATCCGCTACATGTATAAATTTATAATTTTTAAACCAAAATTTCCCAATTTTCTTCTGAAATAAACAAAATTCAACAAAAAAAACCCACAAAAATTCGAAATTACCTGACCAAAATCGGCCAGCTTGAGAACTCCATCGTCCCCAATCAACAAATTACAGGGCTTCAAATCGCGGTGGACCACCATATTCCGATGACATGAGTCAACCCCCGATAGGATTTGCAGCATCCACCGCTTGACCTCGCCGCTCCCAATCCCACCCTCCCGTTTCTTGGCGCTTTTGATCACAGTGGCGAGGTCAGTGGTCAGGAATTCGAGGACGAGCACGGCGTCCTCGTCCTCGCGCCAAAAGTACTCGTACAAAACGATGACGTTGGGGCAGCTGTGGAGGGCCTGGAGGGCCTCGATTTCTCGGAACGCCGACTGGTAGTCGTGGACCTCCTTGAGCGCGACGGTGAGGTTGTCGGAGAGGCGGATGGCTCTATAGACATCGGAGTAGGCTCCGGATCCGACCCGCTCCAGGATCTTGTATTTTGCGATGATTTCGGGTCGGCTGTGGATGCTCCAGCTCTTCGCTGGTGGAGAGTCCATATTAATCGGGCGAGAGAGAAGCAGAGAGAGACAGGGACGGAGAGGGAGAAGAAGATGAAGAGATGCGCGAGCAAACACGTGCGAAGTTTTTTTTCCTTCTTTTCCTGAAACGGGAGGTCCGCACGTGACAAAGAAGAATATTTTTTTTTTATTACAACCGATATTATTATACATGTAGTGCTAGGAAGACTAATTTGTATATTAAACTTAAAAATTAAATGGTCACTCAGTACTACGGTTTTATGATATTCCTCTTATGTAATAATTCAATCATCAACTTACATGTTATTTAGTTTATAAAATTTAGTCCAATACAAATTTAGTCTCTAGCATTAATCTTAGGGAATTGTTATTAGCACTCCAAAAATCTCATTTTACACTCCAAACTTTCTATATTTGGAAAGAAAAATACACTTGTGAAGAGTGTAGAATGAGATGTTTGGAGTGCCAATAACACTTTCCTAATCTTATTACACTAAGTAAGGAGAGCTTAAATCCGGAACACAATGAGTAAAAAATGAAGAGGTAACGGTCGGTTTTCTCCCAAAACATGTAGTAAGTAGCTGCCAATTTCTTCTGAATTTTAATTTTAGCCGATTACCTTTATGAACTTTTATAATTGGCCAATTTCCTCCATGAACTTTGATTCCCCCTAAATCCTTTAAGACCATCTCCAAAGAAAATGTCAAATTATAAGAGTTAAATTACAATTGATGACTGATGTGGTAATCTGAAGTCTTATGTCAAATTTTGTACTTCTCAAACCGAATTGTCAAATATTATTTTATTATTTAAATAGAGCGTTAAATGATTGTAATTATTAAAAAAAATATTGAAACAAAATTTTTATTGGTTGAAATGTTAGTGGAATAAGGGACCTACTATTAAAATGAATTAAAAATAAAATTGACATTGATGTCAAATTTGACATCAAATCACTAAGCTTTCAAATCCGGTCAGCAAATAACATTTCAGTTGGAGAGATTTTTGATGTCAAATATGTACAGTGGCATTCCATCTAGGATTTTGACATCTTCTTTGGATATGCTCTAATACAAACAAAAAGTGTACGGAGTGAACTAGCGGAAGATAAGAAGGAAAAAAAAACAATTTTTTGTCCATATTAGAGACAAAATTATCTTTCTGCAATTATAAAATTCAAGCACAAGAAAGAAATTGACCAATTGCAAAAGTTCAGGAGGTAATGGGTTAAAATGAAAGTTCAATGAGGAAATTGGCTAATTATGAAAGTTCATGAGAATAATTGGCTAAAATTAGTGATTTGACATCAAATCACTAAGCCCTCAAATCCAGTCAGCAAATAACATTTCGATTGGAGAGATTTTTTATGTCAAATATGTACAATGGCATTCCACCTAGGATTTTGACATCTCCTTTGGAGATGCTCTAATACAAACAAAAAGTGTACGGAGTGAACTAGCGGAAGATAAGAAGAAAAAAAACAATTTTTTTGTCCATATTAGAGACAAAATTATCTTTTTGCAAGGTGATGGGTTAAAATTAAAGTTCAATGAGAAAATTGGCTAATTATGAAAGTTCAGGAGGGTAGTTGGCTAAAATGAAAGTTTACGAGAAAATTAGCAGCTCCTTACAAATTCAAGCGAAAAACTAAATCAACCGTCAACAACCACATCATGTAATTTACAAAACGTAATTTTAAAAGACAGTCTCTCTAGCATTACCCTTTTGTAAGGATCAGGATTCTCTCCTAAGCTGATGGAGAGGATCTTCCTGACCAAGCCTATCAGGCCGTTCAATTTTTATCCAACGGTTATAATTATTATAACTTTTAAAGGGACCCTGTTTGTAACCGTTAGATAAAAATTGAACATCAGGAGAATCCTCTCCATTTGCTCAGGAGAGGATCCTGATCCCTTTTGTAAAACTTCCCAAGACCAAAAAGCCATCCTTGGTCCTAGTGTCTCTCACTGCAGGTGAAGCTGTCAATGGAAAGCTAAAATCATGGGACTTGGATTGTCTGCCCTCCAATTTTTGTGCCCTCCTCGTTCCCTCCTGTTTTTGTGGTCACGGTTAAGCCACGTCAACATTTTATATTACTATTTCTTTTTGTTTTATTATTTTTATAAAAAAATAATATAAAATATTGACGTGGCTTAACCGTGACCACACAAAACAGGAGGGCACGGGAAGGGCACCTAAATGGGAGGGCAGACAATCCAAGTCCAAAATCATGTGGGTGGATAGCAGATTTGTGCATGGTCTCACCTGCATTGTTTCTACAAAATATAGGACCACTGCATTCATAATTTCTCTACCTGACAGCCATTTACTTATCCATCTAATTCTTTCTGTCCTCATTCATTAGGGTCTTTCAGGACGAAAATTCTAGAGTGCGTTGATGTATGCATACATTGCTGAATTGAACGGCTAGATGCGTGCTAATCAGTGAAATTTAGCGGGTATATCGGAGCCACTTAAACAGAAGAACAAAATTATTTTCTTGGTAGCAATACCGGAGAGAATGAACAATTCCCCTCCATTTCCCACTCCTTTCAGTTGGCGAAATCAAAACAAACATGTTTCGGTTTAATTTAACGATACTTGAACATACAATACACACATAAGAATATATGGCCTGTAAGGATTAAGCCAGGAAACCCGCAAGAGCAACTGCTAAAAAACAACGTTATGTTCCAAACCGCAGGCGGTTAGCATTCTTTGGCTTCGTCCTAGACATCACAGCCTCCACACACAATGCTTCTGCAATCAGGAAGAGCAATATGTTTTGTTAGTACACCAAATGTCAGTAAATTGCGTTTAAAGTTCAAGAAAACAATTACCATAAGACCGATCATAAACTCTTCACTCGGGTCACCCCATCAATGGAGAGGACAACGATTTAGTAGTCATTCTCAAATCTCAACACCATTTCACATCTTCTATGCCTAGTCACTTTCGATGTTCCAGGTTAACGATTATAAGGACGAGCGCTATGCAACAACAATGTACATCCTAAATTTGTCAACTAATGAAGAACAGAGACAGCTCAATCATAAAGTTTTCGCTTTCGTTTCAAAATTTTAATCGAGGAATTACTTGGCTATTTCTGGATATGACAGCATAGTTATGTTCATCCCTAATTAGTTCGCCATATGACCTCCTTGGACCACAGCTAGCAAACATTGAATGAATCGAAGGACACATATTCTAACCATTTTGTCCTGTTGGTGTTTGGTTTCTTTTCTCGTTTTTACTTCGCTGATGACATGTCTATCTAGTGATACATATCGATCTGTAAGCAGAGGGCGGAGTTCAAGATCCTCGACTTAAGTAAGATTTTGTGATTCGCAAAAACGAATAAGATTTTGTGATTTGGTTTATGAAACTATTGTCATTTCTTGAACGGCTAAACCTCATCGTGTTATTATTCCTTGAGTTGAACATAAACTATTGGGGTAACATAAAACACCACAGAATGAAAGCAGTACTTACGCAATTAAGCAAGCAGATCTCCGGTGCCTTTTCTTCTGAGCCACATCCTTCCTTCTCGGAGGTTGAAGAACAACCTTAATGGCAGTATCGAAAACAGCTTTGACATTCTAATCAAATTCAAGCAGAGTTTATCAATAAGCATTCTTTTTCAAGCAAGAACATATACTAATTTATCACGCTCGGTAAAATAATTGTGTCATTGACAACATTAGGCATCAAATATCCCTGGAATTTTAACTATATTCTTCTAAGTTGTCTACCTGCTGAGTCTTCGAGCTGCACTCGATATAAGCTGCAGCACCTACTTGCTTTCTCAGCTCCTCACCCTGCATACTAAGCATAATTAGACACTTCCACATGAACACAAATGCTTTATCGAAACAACAATCTTGAAGAACCGAAACAAAAGGAAACAATTACCTGAGCAGAAGTTATGATGTTGGATGATCCCATATGATCAGCTAGGTACCCCATGTCCTCACGAAGATCTTAAACACAGAGAAATATATAAGCAAAAATGCTGATAAATTATACTCCTAAAAGACACCCTATCAAACTATCGGAGAAACAAAATCGCCAAAGTTGTTGCCTTACCTAGCTTTGTCCCAACAAGAACAATCGGAACATTGGGAGCAAACCTACGAAGTTCCGGCATCCACTGTGAAAATATACCAGAATGTATGTATCTTAGTCAGTAAAACATCAAATCCAAGCATCTATGTCAGCACAAATGAATAATCAGCCATGGAATCAGTACCTTCTTAAGAACATTCTCATAGCTTGCCCTACTAATTAAGGAGAAAGCTAACACAAATATGTCTGCACCTCTATAACTCAGTGGCCTCAACCTGCTGTAATCCTCCTGGCCTTTAAAAATCAAAATACAATAAAGGGTAATCTGTAAAAACTCAAAAAAAAATAACCAAAAATCCAATATCCAAACTCTGAATCCCAGAAATCAGCAACACTAAAAGTGTAAAAGGAGGGCAACCCCAAGCCAACAAGGCTTCCCGCCGCTTTAAGAAGGTGACGGAACCCACTTTGTGAGGGTGGGGAAACGTCTATCGTATGCAAAATTTAGTGCAAGGAAAACACAAAATTTACCTGCAGTGTCCCATAGCCCCAGGTTCACTATGTTCCCATCAACAGCAACATTTGCACTAAAATTGTCAAAAACTGTTGGTACATAATCCTGCCACAAAAATATAAAGGATGTAATTTTTATTTTCTGTTTAGTTTTTAGCTTGATCTATGACAGAAATCCCACGAAATATTCAAAAAATTAAAAAAACAAAGGAAACAAAGAGCATTTTTTAGGTGGATATTTAAAGTTGCAAGACTCACAGTGGGAAACTTGTTGCTGGTGTAACAAATGAGCATACAGGTCTTCCCAACAGCTCCATCACCAACAGTGACACATTTAATGAACTTAGAAACACTCATTCTCTCAACCCCAAAACTTGAAATTAAAACCAGCTAGCTTGTAGGTAATTAAGCACTTGAGCCAAAAGCACTTCTAGTTCTAGGACATACACATGTAAATGTGAAATGAGCTTTAAAAAGTTGAGCTTAAACAAAAAGCTGAACAGAAGAAGCGGTGGAAGAACAAGAAGCAGAAGTAGTAGAACGAGAGCTCAGAACATTGTCTGACCTTTTGTTGAGGTGTGAGATGATATAGAAGCCAAGTCCTTCTTCTAATTTCAAGAAGAAAGATTTAAAATTTAAGAGAGAGAAAGTTAGGGGAGAGAGAGAGAGAGAGAGAGATGTGTTGCCTGTGGTCAAACGACTCAAACGGTCTATAGCTCTACTTTTTGAGTCCCTCTAAGGACAATTTTCAAATCCAACAGAAATATTTTTTGAATTTACTGAATAAGGGGCCCCTCCATTTTTCTTTGCTGGTTTCCAACTTGCAGTCACATTCATGGCAGGAAATGAACTTCCAATGGTAAACCTGTAAAAATGCAAACTTTGTTACAGTTTCATCATCTGCATTTCTGTGCTTTTAGATACTGGAAAGTAATTTGGATTTTCAAAAGATTGAAAAAAGGCATAATTTTGTTTTAAAATTGTTTTCTATTGTCTTTTAATACAACTTTAGTGGTTAAAGTATTTTTATTCATCAAATTGCCCAAAGCTTAAGTTTCATTGATGTCTCAAAAAGAACAATAAAACGGCTATATCGTATTTAAACTTATTTCGAGTACTAATAATAATTTTCGAACAAAACTGTATTTCAGATTACAACAAACAATAAAATGGCTTGCATTACTATAGCTAAACTTTTTTTTGGGTTTAATTTTTTTGGGTGTTTCCCAAAATTTTCCCTTGTTTATTGACATTTTTTAGTAAGTGTATAAAAAACCAAAGTATTTTTTGAAATTATTCTGTGAGAGAAGATTTGGCACAAAATCGAATATAAACATTTTATAATTCATATAGTCAGCTTCATTTAATAAATCTTAAACAATAAGATTTTTTTCAATGTTTTGTCATGTTTGCCACGTAGAAATAGAACAACAGTTGAAGGGAGCTTTATATATTTTAATTTTCTGTCTTTTCCTGTTATGTTAAAATACTTGGTTAATTTATAAGGAAAACTAATGTAAAGTATTTGAAAACTTTGAATTTTAATGATAAGGATAAAATAAAGGGTAAAATGAATAATACCAGGTTTGACTTTTTAATGTAAAAATGTGGTTTTTCGTTAAAGTGAACAGTACCGTGAGCTTTTCGTTAAAACTCCCTAATTTATAATTATTCAGATAATTTAAACTGTCATAGAATCTATAACATTTTTTTTATCTTTGCTAATTGCCATTATGTGATAGACGTGCAACGCCTGGAACGATTATTATAAATATAAATCCACATGCTTGATTGCCGACCGTTGCTTTCGATTTGTCACGCATCTCAAATTTATTTATTTTTATTTATTTTCTTAAGAAACTCAAATATTTAATTAATTAATCACCTCTTCAACTTAAATATAAATATTTGCAATCAAGTCAACACTATTTTTTTTTTTACTAAAACTGTTTTATAAAATAAAGTATATTTTTCTTAGGTTATTTATTCTTTCAATTGGTAACCTAAATCTAAGCATTTTTTGAATGATGATTATTTGACAAGTTGCCAAGTGTTTGGGGTTTCTTAGGTGATCCTGCATTGTTTGTACAAATGTTGACTTTATTTTGACAGATTCATGGCGCTTTAAAAAGTGGATGGAGCTGTAGACACAACAATCACCCAACTCCAAAAATCACCATTTTCATAATGTTCATTTGGCTCATTTGTTAATATAAAAATTCTACGATGTTCTGGTTTATGACAATGTATTGAAGCAAATAGAGCAAAGAAATTTCAATTTTTTTTGTGGTATTTGAGCAAGTTGTCTCATCTTATGCGTGAAACTCAACGGTCATACGTAATCTATGTCACCTAATTTGTATTATCCACATGTTAGGCTAAAAAATTTGTCACATATGAGGAGGCGTGTTGAGAATAAATTATACATTGATAGGATGAGAGAGTTTGCATGTGCTTAAAATTAAGTTGAACTACTTTCCATATTATCAATTAGTTTTATGACGGATTCTCAATTTCTCCAAGAATCAATAATCTAACAGAAATAATTCGATGTAATTTATGCTTTGATGGATGCAAGAAAAATCCTTGTTAATATTGTCGAATATATGTTTCCTCTCCTTCAACCTCAATACTTAAAAATGTTTATTTACTTAAAATGAGAGAAGTCAGTATAATGAAGAAAGAATGCAACTGAGAATCTGAGATCAAGTACTCTTATAATCAATCTAATTATTTATTTTTCGAGTATTTAATATTATTTAATTTCATAGTGTGTTGTAACCCCATACGAACTAGTAACTAGAGTAGTTTAAACACCGAGGCGTTCATAAACACACAAAAAAATTCAAAAATTAGAATAACTCCAATATTCATTTCAACTCATTCTAATATATAATATAAACATGCTTAATCATGTGATTAAGGGGGTGGAATCTCATTCCTTGATTTGGGCTAATCTATGCTTGAAAAGTTTGAGACACCATCATATAAATCCTCCTCAAAAACAGGGTGAAAACAATGTTCAACCCTCCATTCACGCTTCAAACAGTCACCTTGACGTCTCCATGTCATATAAATCCTCCTAAAAAACGGGATGAAAACAATGTTCAACCCTCCATTCACGCTTGAGATATAATCACCTTGACGCCTCCATGTCATATAAATCCTCCTCAAAGAGGCGGAAAACAATGTTCAACCCTCCACTGAGGATTCTGGAAGAATCTATTTTTCACAAAAAGCTGTAAAATCCTTTATCATCATTTAAATATCCTTCCTCATATATCACAAAATAGCTCCCTTATTTTCATTACACAAACTACTAAACAGAAGATTTGAAGATCCACATAGATATAAAATGTCACCCGACTAAAATGGCCAGAGACGATACATATAGGGAAGCTCAAGTCTCAGATACAAGAGGGAGCAAACTGGGGGTGAGGGAATGTAAATATTCAGAGAGCCTTGAGGATGTCATCGGCGCTGGAGATGGTAAATTCTCCCCCACTCTCGATATTTGCGGCCTTCACCTTGAGGTCTTCGATCAAGAGAGCAAACCTCTTAGAACGAATTCCGAGCCCTTTCTCTGAAAGGTCTAGCTCCAGGCCGAGATCACGGGTGTATTTCGCTGAGCCATCAGCAAGGAAAAGAACATCTTTGTTATCGGGGTATGTTTTTGACCAAGCCTTCATCACAAAGGGATCATTCACTGCAAACACGAATCAAAGCCTTAAGTTCGATATCTGATTCAACAACATTTTCAAAGGATCAATCAAAGGGTACACCACAAGTAAGCATGAAAACAAATATCGTCGGCGGACAAATTCACATGGTATTCTCATGAGCAATTGATAGACCATACAAGCTATCATTCGCGAGCTGATATAGTAGCCTCTGTTACAAAACCACATCAAGTAACTACAATATACCAGCAATGCATACAGCGACAAGGGGAGGGTAATAGCAAGAAGACCAACTAATCGAATCTTATGTCATGAAGGTGTGTTCGTGTCCAATGCGGAACAACTAAGAACAAGCAAACTGCAAGTCAGCTGTAGATTTACTTGCACTGACTACGAAATGCAATTGACGTTCCACCCCCATCAGACGATGATCAATCAAATATTTAGGAACACTTAAGTAATCACTCTCGGTATACACAGGAAGCATTTTCCTAACTCTACGAGATAAGGGGAGGGGGGAATCGAACTAATCGAGCTACAAGCCCCTTGCAAGTTAAGTTCTTTGATCACTAAAGTTAGCATTAACCTTAATCTCTTGTATCCCACATACAACTCTCAAAAAAGTTAAATGGCATTTATCATGTGATCTAGCAAACCAAATCACAACCACACGTACAATCCATGATCAACAGAACGAAAGGGCAAAAATTCAAGTAAATTGAAATTAACAGAAAATATAATTAAGTGAGAAGTAATACCGCTAAGACACAGAATTTTCTCAACACCCTTCGATTTAAGCTCATCTGCTTTCTCAATGAATCCAGGCACATGCTTCAAACTGCACAACCACAGCAAAAAACCAACCTCAAATTCTCAGCAAAATAACAATCATTCAAAAAATCAACAATCGTCCGATTCAAACCAGTCACCAATCTAAACCGTCCACTTCACAAGTAACAAATTCACACCAAAGCAAGCAACTTTACCAACGTGGGGCTCATTTTATATAACATTTTCCTACCATTTTCCCGGGAACCAAATAGTGGGTAGGGTTTGGCAGAAAATTCTATATCCCGAAAGTTCGGAGATCGAAAGATTCGAGCTTTACCTGCAAGTGGGGGTGAAGGCACCGGGGACGCCGAAGAGGATGACTTTTTTGCCGGCGGCGAGGGAGTGGACGCTGACGGATTGGACCTTGTCTTCCTCGTCGAAGTAGGAGAGTGTGCCGTCCGGAATAACATCGCCGACTGCAATCGGAGCCATAGCTTTGATCTGCGGTTATGGTGATTCGTACGGTGGAGGATGCTTGATAAGGGTGCGCAGTTGTTGTATAGGATTAATAGAGCCTTTTATATATAGGGACTACTAGGGACTCCCCAGTAGGGAGTAGAGTGTGATGGACTTCAGTGATTTTCTCAATTGGATTTGATAAATATTTTGGGGTCCGGTTTTTATTTTTATTTTCTTTGTAGTGGGTAGAGAAAGATTTACATTTACCGTACGGTAATGTATTGGTCTGTAGACTAATAGGAAAATAATTTTTACTTTAAAATATTTTTTAGATACCGGTAATTAGTGGCAGCTTTTTTCTCTCGTTACATTTAGGAGCTTAATTTGTAGTATATCGATATTTTTACATTAAGAGAATAAAAAATTCGGTTAAACTCCTTAATAAGTAGCCTAATTTGATATCGAATCCATTATCTATGAGATTCAAACCTAAAACCTCTCAATGAGGAGGAATATCACTAAACCGTAGTACTAAGTGGCTTAAGGAGAAATTTTTTAGAATGCTTAAGGTACATTACATTACAGTTGGTTTATAGAGTTGTGTTCTTGCACAGTGAAATATCTCTCTATCTCAAGAGGTGGATATAGAGTGTGATTTGAAAATAATTTTTTTAAGTCCTCTCTAAAATGAGAGTCTGAGTCCATTGAAGATAGATGCTCTAATATAATATTATATATAGATTTGGGGAGTTCCTTTTTTTTT